CTAATAATTTTTTTTTTTTTTTACAAAAAAAAAAAAAAACACATGCATGTATATTTTGTTACAATTTAATAAATCAAAAGAAAAGAATGTTATATACTTACTAATGGCAAATCCTTAATTCCTAACATATAACTGAACATCGCCCTCGTCCAAAGATTACTTATTTGAAGAGCCAATGCCGCCCTTTCTTTGTCTTGCTCCTTTACGAGAAATCTTACTTCATCATGAACTGACAGCATGAAACGCGCGTCAATTTTATATTTTTCCAGCAGGTAATTCATGGATACTAAAAGCAAATGCAGATAATCCACTCCAGATGATTGTACAACCCAATTCACACGTGACGTCATAAATTCTCGAGTGCACTTTAGTGCATCAGTTATACCACATTTTAGAATCGGTGTTTCTGGACACTCGACATTCGCAATACCTTCCAAACTATTGAACATATAACTCTCGCTGCCGCCGTGCCAAAATGTTTCAAACCTCTTGCCTTTTGTTTTTGAAAATAGTTCAACAGCGAGATTTTGCGCCTTTTCTTCACTGAGGTCCTTGTTGAATTGCTTCAACAGTTGAATAGCAAATTTAAGTCCGGCGCCATAAATTCGGCCGTAATTGAATATTTTCGCCTCTGAACGAGAAATATTTAATATTTTTGCAGTCCTAGAATGCAAATCAGTCTCTGCCGACTTTGTTCCTTGAAGCGTCATCCATCCCATAGCAGTTGCTCCATGAAATCCAAATTGAGAATCCCCAATCAAGCTAGATATCCATAATTCTTCCGAATCCACATCCGCACCAACAATTTTGTATCCTTTCGGAGATTGGATGATCGCTTTGAGTTCCGACCCTATTCTATTTTTCTTCGGGTTACTTGCCGTCATCCATGTATTTTCTACGGCACGACGAGTTACGGTTCCCATTGTTAGTGTTTGCGGCAATATGATACCCACAGGTTTTTCCGCATCCAAATCAAATCCCATATCTTCTATTTCCGGATGGTCTTGATATACGACCATCTGATTCTTTATTCGTTTACGAGAACTTATCCAGTAGGAACAAGCGGCGTT